TCAAAACAACTTCTCCTCTCCTGCCGTCCTCCTCCTGCTCCTTCCTCTCCTCCTTCCTCCCTCATTCTCTCCTCCCTCCTCTTTCCTCCTCCTGAACCTTCCCCCCCTTACTTTCTCCCTTCCTCATCCTCTCACCTTCCCCCTACTCCTCTCCTCCTCCTCCTACTCGCAACACCTTTTCCTCCTCCTCCCCCTCCGCCTCCCGACACCTCAACCACTTTCCTCCTCTCCTCCTCCTTTCTCCTCCTCTCCTCCTCTCTCCTCCCTACTCCAACACCTTCATCTCCTCTCCTCCCTCTCTCCCTATCTCAAAACACCTTCTCCTCCTCCATCCCCCTCTTCCTCGCTCCTCCCTCACCTTTCACCCCTACTCCTCCTCCCTCCCTACTCAAAACACCTTCTTCCATCTTCTCCTCTTTCCTCCATAAAAATTAAAAAAGAGCATGGCTACTATGTTTCCCTACGGCGCCTGCAAAACAAGAGTCGCGCTATAACCCTTGTCAGATCGGAGCTCGCGCATGCCTTAATCGAGCGTCTCCAGTTTCATGCCCTGCAGACCGCGTCCAAATTACGCCGGTACTCCCGGTCTTTTTGACGCCTCGTAGTTATTTGTTGGACGCTCCGTAGGCATTGCTTAGTAGGTTGGCGTTTGTGTAGGGGGACGAGCAGGAAGTCTGGTGTTTACGGTAGAAGGAGGAGGAAGCCGGTGGTTGGGGAAGGAGGAGCGCAGGGGAAAAGAAGGAGAAGATGGAGAGAGACATGGTGTTGTTCTTTGATGGTCAGGAGTAGCGAGGAAGGGAGAGAGGAGAAGGCGTGTTTGAGTACGGGAGGAGGAGGAGAGGAGGGGAGAAAGGGTGTTGGAGTAAGGGAGGGAGACGGAGAGGAGAGGGAGGAGGAGGAGAGGGGAGTAGGGGGAAGTGAGGGAGGGGAGGGGAGGAGGGAGGGGGGGAAGAGAGGATGGAGAGGAGGGGAGCGAGAAGCGTTGTTGTTTGTGAGTAGGGAGGGATGGGGAGGAGAGAGGAGGGAGGAGGAAGATTAGTTGCATAGTACGCGAGACTTTCGTCCTTGACCCTCCTCCTCCCTCCTAGTAGCGAGGAGGAGGGGGAGGAAGAAGGAGGAGAACGGTGTTGGCCGTAGGTAAGTGTGAGGAGGAGGAAGGAGTTAGGGCGGGGAACGGTGCAGCCGCGAGGAGGAGGAGAGAGGAGGAGGAAGAAGGTGTTTGAGTAGGAAGGAGGGGAACTCCTAAGAAGGCTATATTCCGTCTCCTCGGTGCTTCCTTCCCCCTTGTCCTCTCCTCAGTGGGATGAGGAGGAGCTCAACGAGAGAGAGCGGAGGCTAGTTAGCGGCCTCTTGGAAGGTGAGGTGCCCTGAAGGCCATACGCTCCCGGACGCTGCCAGAACAGTATAGCCCTGAGGCCTAGCCTGACTCAGAAAGGTGCGCTCCCTTTGCAGTAGGGCTCTCCGTCAGGAGGAGGAGAGGACGTGCAGCGAGAAGGTGTTGGCGCCTCAGTAGGGAGGCAGGGCAGGAGCGAGGTAGGCTCGTATATGACCACCTCCTCCTCCTCTTACCTGCCTTTCCTCCGCTCTCTCCTCAGGCTCCTCCTACTATCCAACACTTCTCTCCTCCTCCTCCTCCCCTCCTTCCTCCTCTCGCTCCTCCTCACATTATTAACTTATTTTGGACGCTCGTAGGTAGCTACTGCGCATTATTGCCGATGCGTGTGATGCGTCCTTGCAAAACAGAAGGCCGCAACCACATTCTCCAGAGTTTCGGGCGAGCGTCCAAATACGCCGGTACAGTACTACTACTACTACTACTAGTACTACTAGTAGTAATACTAATAGTAATTAGTATTATTAGTAATAATACTAATTTACTATTAATTATTATTATCATGCAACTAAAGTAAATTGGTGTTTCTCCTTTATGTCTCACCTTTTGCATTAAATAATTGTTGCTCTGCAATATATAAAATAGCTTAATAACTACCTAAAACTCCTAAACACTGACTGATTCAAGCTAGGTATCCAAGAACATGCATTTTACAGAGTTCCAGTAAATATTCCAGGATAGATTAGTGCTGCCATCTGTAGGTTTTAAATAAAAACATTAGAATTTAGAATTAGGAATTCTAGTCCACAAAACATTAATAAAACTATAGTATGTAGACATGTTTATTCCAACGTTATTGTATTATGATACTACGCTTATAAAAATTTTATTCCTTTATTCTATGTTTTATTTATTCACATTACATACATTTTCGTAAGATATTTTTTCTACGTGAAGGGCGTTCCCAGAATGCATCCGTGGGTCACGTGAGAATTCATTCTCCGCACCGGCAGCCACCATGTTAAACGCATTCAAAGTTTGCTGCTCTTCAGCTCTAAGAGCAGCAAAGCCTATCGTACAACTACAACATCTTCTTCAGACCACAACCAGACTACTTCCTGCGCTTTCAACTCCACGTGAGTTATAAATGTTTTGTTGTTAGTGTCGTATTTGCAGTACATATATGATATAGTCGTTTCGGCATCGCCATCTCAAATTTCTGTCCTTGGTAGAGTGCTTGCGGTCGTTCTTGCAATTGTCCTTAATGTCCTGTAGTTACACGTTATCATATCAGAGTTAGTTCACTACGATGTATAAATATATATTAAAGTGTTAATGTGAGCGTTGCATATTTCAGGATGCAGTTATGCTACAGAAGCGGCCGCGCAGCCAAAAGCTCCAGCCTCGAGCGTTCAAGGAAAAGTAATGGCGGTCATCGGAGCTGTCGTGGACGTGCAGTTTGATGATGCGCTACCGCCTATTCTTAACGCTTTGGAAGTTATTGGTAGATCACCGAGATTGATTCTAGAAGTCTCTCACCATTTAGGTATGGTAGCATTACTTATTATCTTGAATTAAATTTTCTTATTTAGTTATTTGCTAGTCGTATCTCTGAGTAAAAGTTGAAAAGGGTAATCAGTAATTAAATAATAGGAAGTGTCTACTGCAACGGTACCGTCGCCGATTATTTTTCTCTTAAAGTCACGGTACTGACGCCTGATTGGTTGAGCTTGTTTTCTCGCGATATACATAGC